TATTTATATATTATTGTGTTATTATAACACCAAAAATATTTTTAGAACATAATATCAGAATATTTGACCGATTTTTTTTTTTTTTCTAAGCTTATGTGACGTGATTAGCACTGGTGTAATATTTTTTCCTTGCCCGGGCCAAACGACCCCCAAGGCACAAAAAAAAAAATATTACATCAGGATTCCGCACGTAGAGTTACGTGCGGGTCTAATGAAATCACACCACACGTGAAGTTGAGAAAAAAAAAAGTCGGTAATACAAGAGAATATTTCTCCAGTGTTATTTATATGTTATTGTGTTATTATAATACAAAAAATATTTTTAGAACATAATATCATACAATAATATCTGAAGAATATTGGGAGAATATTTCTCTGTATTGTTATGCGACCGATTTTTTTTTTTTTTAAGCTCAAGTGACGTGATTTCATTCGAGTGTAATATTTTTTCGGAGGTCTCGGCAGCTAACTTTCATCTCACTTGAGCTTTCGACCAACGGGAAAAAAAATGGGGGGCGAAGAGATATCCGAGTACGAGAAGCTTAGGCTGACGAGGATCGCTGAGAACAAAGCAAGGCTGGAATCACTCGGGCTTACGCATCTCGCCTTCTCCCTTGTCGGTTCTTCTTCCAAACAGCAGCCGAAGGAGCGGAACCCGAAGAAGAATAAGGTTAAGCGCGGCGTCGGAGCCGGCGACGAGGAAGATGAGGAATACCGGCCATCCGATGACGATAGGGGGGCAGAGGAGGATGATGAAGAGGAGAGATCCGTGGATAGCGAAGAAGATGAAGACGCGAGAGCTTCTTTCAGTTCCGGAAGGATGGTGCGGTTGCTAGCATGTATTTCTACATTGTTTACCCTGGTTTTTATTCAAGAAATGGGCAGTTGCTTGGGTTTTGTTTTGCACAAGCTGGAGAGTTACATAAGTTGTTTGCTGTTGCAAGTACCGTAGGTTCCTTTGTTTGCTATCGATTTTAAGTTTACTATGAAACAAGTGACTGACCTCTCAGCAGAAATGATAGGGTACCCCTCTTCATCCCCACATCCATTATGGATAGAATTTAGTTGATAACAACTTCCATGCTTTTTTGTTATTCTGTTTAGCCAGAGAAATGATACTTTGCCCTCGGCTCGGCATCCTTAGTCGGTACCCTCGGCTGGGCCTCCCCGGGCCATTCCCCTCGTGTAGGCCTCCTCGGCTCAACCTCCTCGGTCCGGCCACCCAACGCTCGCCTC